ATTAAACATTTCCACAATTGCCAGCATATTTTTGTTTTTGGCAGCCAAAATGTATGTATGATGACACATCACAGAAAGAGCCACATATATTTGTCCAATGGTTATTTTAATGCAACAGTCAGTGGTTTACAATTTTGTTTATTTGAAAATCTCATGTCTTGGCGCTAAAGTGCAGGATATATTTTGTGTTTGAGATCCAGTGACAAAGGAGTAAAGTCGGTCAGCAGAGTGTTCTTGCATCTGTTTGATTTTGTTGCTGATGTCGTCAGTTCCTCACAGTTCATGGACAGAACTGTGAGGCTCAGGGAGATTCTGAATGTCACAGTTTTGAATCAGACTAAAGTAAAACATCACGTACTCCTCGTAGTTCTTTATGGAAATCCTTTCGTTGATGCCATGGATTCTAAGAAACAGAAAAAACAGTTTCCATGCTTATCTATTTCCTTTTTCAAGAGGAGGGAAATATCCTTCATTCATTTGATTGGCTGTAAATTTTCTTGTAGGATAATTTTACCAAGGCTGAGGGGAAAACTGGGCAAGCACTTGGTGTTAATGCATAAAACTCTTCATACTGTATTTGCTGTATACAGGAAATCTGAGTCTGAACATCACAGGTTTGTAATGTAAATGTCTCTTTCCAGAGGTTTATTATACAACAGCAGGTTTTGCTGAGTCCTCTCTTTATTTATATTCCACATGAGACAAACAAGATTCTTACCTCTGAGCGTCACCTGGTTTTAACCAGAGAGGCAAAAAGCGATAAATATCCTTGGTCAGGTCTTTGAAGTGTCGACTGTCTGTGTTTGCAGTACACATACCTGCAAATTCAAACATGATATCAAGAAGATCCTGCTGTTTAAATGATAACACCCTAAATAAAACATTTTTCTGCCTTAAAATCTATCGGGACTGTACCTGGAGCAACTGTAACTGTTGGAAAGATGTCCAACACGGTTTTCTTAATGATCTGAAAGCCAAAAGACTTTTCATCCGCAGAGCTGACAGGCTCAGGGTCAAAGCCATTAATGAGCTCTATCTTCACACGTGCGTCACCCACTGTGGAATGGATATGGTCCATTGCCTGGATGAGACAGCACACATTTTAATTTGTATTTCATGGAGACATCAGGGATTCTCAGAGGAGAGGGTCATCTTTGACTCTACCTCTTGTAATGACTGTGCTGGGTGGATTCGCATATTGATGTAAGCTTCAGCAAGGGAGGGGATAACATTCTCCTGCAAGAGAGGAGGGGTGATTAGGATTTTTCTGTGGCAAACTGAATTGCTTGCAATCTGATTTCCTGTGAATAGCTTTCTGATTTATTATATTTAACTGTACCTTAACTCCTGCATTAAACATGGTGACTGCTGTGGTCGTCCTTATAAAACTGTTGGTTTCTGGTTTTCTTTCCATGAATCTGGAACACAAGACGTACTTATGGATTCATTCCAAAGGCCACAGTCAGAAGAAAACGTGCAGAATTAATTTTAGGAAGTAATCACCTGGCAAGGATCGGAGAGAACAGCCACAAATTTGACATAATGAACTTCAGTGGAAACCTGAACTGAAGTCAAAGAATGAGTAACAACAGGAGAAGATGATAGGATAAAATGCTACAAGTTGTGATGAGTAGTTGGTTCTTCTTACCTTATGGGCCAGGTGTTCAATGGTTTGACGTTCAGGCCCATAACCAAATACCGTCGGCATAGGGTTCTCCTCCAGTCTGAGGAAACGGCATGAAAGTGACATTGAAAGGCTTTTTGTAAATACAGAGGTAAACATGGAGTAGGACTTGGTTATAATAGCAGTGTTGTGTACAGAACCCTTGACCAGATTTCATAAATGAGTGCGTCTGTGACTGTGAATAAAGATGGACGAGTGAGCAGTGAGCAGAGCCAAAGTCAGGCTGATACACGTGCTGGCCCTATCATGAGTCTGTCAATAATGAGGTTTCACCCTCTTTATAATAAAACCACCTTAAATGATAGAAACCACCTTTAAGAATAATATTTATTGAGCATGACTTTTTAGTTTGGTCCATCTCCCATTAACTAACATGGAGGAGGAGGCAGGATTTATTACATATACTGCAGCCAGCCACCAGATGGTGATTAAGACCCTTTGGCTGCACTTTTGGGGAGCTGTCATGTCATCCATCTTTAAATATAGTGTGTATATATAAATGGTTTATCGTCCGTGAAAGGATCCAGCTGTTGGAGCCTTTTGTTTCTTGGGGATGAAAGGACGCATTTGTGAGCCCAATTTGAAGGAGCCTTTCAAAGTGGAACAGTCTAATCACGCTGTTGTGACATAATCGGTCTCCAAATGCAGCCTCCGGAGGATGCAGCCCTTGAATTTAAACTAGGGATGTCACAAAAACCATAAACATGTGTTTGATAGTCTACAGTTTATAGACATATTTAAACACAAGTAAAAACAAGTAAATTAAGTAAATGGGATTTATTGGTTAGCTTCTGCCGTGGTATCGAATTAGGTATCGAGAATCGTGGAAATTATAAAAATAGTACGGTTGTTTTTTTACCTTTTATTTCCACTTAAAAAGAAAGTAACAAAAAAAAAAAAAGTAGTATGTAGAATAACAAATGGAGCAGCGTGACGACAGAGACCGACCAGAACACAGAGTACCGTACATTCCTCTCACCTTTTGACTGCTGAAGCCAGGATCCCGATGGTGGTCTCCCTGGGAGGCATTGAGGCGTGACCAGGGACCATAGACACACTCAGCTTTATAGAGGCCATTCCCTTTTCACTTAACCCAATTCTGCAAAAGATGTACACACACACACACACACACACACACACACAAAACAGAACTTTGTCTATGCAATTTAATGGAGACATCTAACTTTAAACCATGCTTTTGTTGAAATGTCATGCTTGAAACTTTTTCTAGACAAAATAAGCAAAGCAAATATCGTGCAGACTTGTTCATGAAATTCAAGAACAGCAGGTTCTTACAGAGCGGCAGGTCCGTCAAGACCAGGGAAGACTCCATCAATCAAAGCCAGGCCCTCGTCCAGGACGAACAACAGCTGCACACCACGCTGTTTGAGCACGCGTACAATGTTCACCGCCCCATTCAAACCAAAAACCTGGAAAAAGAAATATGAACGGACACAGAAAAGATTGAAATTTATTAAATGTTACATTAGTTCACATTTTCAGGACAGGGGATAAATATTTTTAGTACTTCTTCATCATGACCAAGACCGATGTAAAATCCTCTGCGTGGAGCATAGCCTTTTTTAAGCAAGTATTCCAGCGCCTCAAGTATTCCCTGGAAAACATAAAAACATTTTAGTTGATCCATGAGCATGTGACTGTATTCCAAATAATCCTCAGATCACTCATTACATTATCTCACCATTAAAGAGCTCTTGTCGTCCATGGCTCCTCGACCGTAGATGTAGCCGTCTATCACCTCGGCGGAAAACGGTGGGGCCACCCAGTCGGCTGACTCCGAGGCAGGTACCACGTCGATGTGGGCCAGTAGCAGGTACGGCACCAGGTCAGGTTGGGAACCTTCCACCTTAAACAGGTGGCTGTAGTTTCCCACCAACTCATGACGAACCAAGCTCGAGGAGAAAGTTGTTGGGAAGGCTGTCACACAAAGAAGGTGTGAACTTCACCCATGACCCCCCCAACCCCCAACCCACGAATCAACTGTGCGTGTGTCTGTGCGTGCGTGCGTGCGTGCGTGCGTGCGTGCGTGTGAGTCACTGCATCTAGTGCCGCTCGTACCTTGGCGGAGGAACTTGTCGAAGTGAAGCAGCGCTGTGGTGTTGATGTCCTCAGCGGATGTGGACACGGTGCGGATCCGGATCGCCTCTGGATGGAAGAGAGAGGGGGGGGGGGGGGGGGCAGCAGCGGGTTGTAGGAGGCGGTGTCTCCACGTTTTTCACACGGTAACACTCACGCACATTTACCTCTCAGACGTGTCAGCAGCTCCTGCCTGTGCTGCGGGTCCAACTCCAGCGAGATGTTGTTCGTGCCCTCCCAGTGGGCGAGCTGATCACTTCCGTCCACAGTCAGAGTCCTGATTGACGCCACAGTCAACAACAGTGACACGACTACGAGGAGGCTGCAGAAGATGATCTTTAAGAACTTGATTGCTTTAAACCTCTGGCCTGATTCCGTCATTGTTTATTTGTGGCGTCAGCGGAACTGGATCGGTATCAATGCGCAGACCGGGTCAAAGTCTGCGGTGCAGGCTGAATCATGCACAGAGCCGCCTGCAGGCCTGAAGACACATTACAGCCTCAGAGTGTCACTCCCCCTTCATAAAGTCATAATAATGTTCAGACCTTCAATACGAAGCACTCATCTGCATCTTCAACCTGTGTTGCATGAAAATTAAATCACTAAAAATGAATAAACCCTTGGTCTGTGTCAGTGAGTAACATTATGCATTAGGCTGACTGCAAAGAGGTCGCTTCCATATTCACATTTGCTGTAATTGCTACGTGTCAACAAATTAATTTCACCATTTTGCAAAAAAAAAGTATTGACCTATCCCAGATATTCTTTGAAATAATTCCCTTTATTATTTCCAGAGTTATTTATTGAACAACTAGTGCATTTTAGGAGGAGATGCAAACAGGATTTTTAAGTTCTCAGATGTATATGTTTGTTCTATCAAAGTTAAAGACCCTCAGGAGTTATACAGGCAACCGGACCCGCTCGTTGACTTGCTTCAAAGATTCCTGTGATGGCACGCAAACTTCCAAACATATAATTCCAGCATTAAAGCAGCCTAATGTCCATCCACGATGACTGTGAGGGTGCACAAGTGTCCAAAGACATGAAAGCAGCCATCGGAATGTTTATTATAACTTGGTGATACCCTACTTAAAATACATTTTTATATGAACTTCCTTTGGAGGTGTATCACTTGAAAAACAAATTGGTTTCGTAGTTTTTGCCTAATCATTCTAAAACAAACTGGGGAAAAAAAATTATGAAAAGAACATTTAAAAAGTATGAAGCAAAACATCCTTTATTGAAATATGATTTAAATATTATCTTTAAAAAAACGATGCACATCAGACATACTGTGACATCAGTTACAATCAGGTGACACAAAAATCCAACATTTTTACATTTGACAAAATATTCAGCTCTTGATGGCACTTTGTGCTCATGAGATTGTTTTAACCACAGAGACAAAATTGGAAACACTTACATCAGCAAAACATTAAAAATGTAGAGCCGGACTTTAAAGATTTGCTCCCATACAGACAAACAAATGCAGTAAATAGCAAAAGTGATAAGTGATTACAGTATGTGCTCCCTGAAGACAATCCAAGACAAAGTAATCATAATATGCATCAACAAAAATAAGCTATGTGACATGTGTAAGTTTAAAAAAATCACATTACATTACTTCTGTTCAGAAAGTGCTGGTGTGTCTTATGTCTTGCCAGAAACAGACTGAGTGAGTTGTCCTAAACTAAAGCATAAACGAGGTAGAGGATGCACACCATGATGAGGAAGAACAGAAACCGTATGTGGACAGGCACAAGGCGGCGCTCCACCTCTCGTCTCTCCAGGGTCGTGGGACTGACAGGAGTGTCCGGGTACGCGTACTGCACAGGTCTCCCTGCTGCCCCCTTGATGGGTCTCCGACGAGTGGCGCTGAAATAGTGTTGGACACATGTGCTGACAATCTAACCACAGAACGCCAATCATGTGTCGGTATGTGCTTTGATGCAAAGCTGTCCTGTGAATCTACTTCTCATTCAGCAACAACTCAGAAGATTACAAGCACTTACTATATACCCATGGGTGTGGTCTCAGCAGGAAGCAAATCCTTGAAAGTATCGTTCACAGGCTCCCGAGGAGGCTGCAAGAGAAAGAAGCAAGTTACTCACAAACAGAGAGAAACAGAAAAACGTCCCAGACATCAGTGTCCCACAGAGACCCTGGCTCAGCAAGTCAGGCAGAGATGAAGGCACAGAGCGAATGGTTATGTGACAACTGGAGATCCTACACACACACTGATAAAATATTCAAACTGATCCAGCTCGGACTTTCTCCGGAATTTCACATGTGAACAACTCAGCAGGGGATTCTCCAATCAGATGCTTTCACAGCTCAGAAATACACGGGGCGTTCAGGTGAGGGGTGGTACAGCGGTAGGATGTAAGGTAATGTTTCTGCCGCTGAGACTCACGTGTGTTTGATTACCCCCACGTCGGCCTTTATCAACATAGGCGACATCTTGGTCTGTCTTCTTCATGTGTGGCACCAGTTTTTTCACATGGAGATATGTATTCGTGTGTTAGTCGTGGGCTCCTTCGGACATTCGGAGCAGTGTTTACGAGGAGGGTGGCCTGAGAATATGCACAGATTCCCCAGAGTTCAGTGCGTGTCTGAAAGCAGTAATAGTGAAACTAGCGTGAAAGGATTCAGACCACATAGTGTGTTCTCAAAGGCCATGCACACACCCCCATCAAGTCACATGAAATAAAAAAGTAATAAGATGCAAGTGCCTTCTTCATTTCCCGTTTATGAGGGGAAGTCCTGGGAGTGTAGTACAGGGAGTTGTTCTTCATGGTGCTGTTGTCTACAACTGGCATGTCCAGCTGAGGAAAGGAGATGTAACAGATTATGACACAGTCAGAAATAGCTTCCGCATCCAGCGAATGTCTCCAACACCGAAACCACCACCACGGTTTGTTCAGTCACACTTTAAGCACAATGTGAGAGCTCTGTACTGACCCTGCTGGACCGTGACCAATGCTCCTGCACATTGCTCCCATTGAACTCTCTCACAGTGTTTGTGCTAGTGGAGAGTGGCCCCCGACTCTCCATCTGTTATTCAGAGTGAGAATGCTCATGACTGATTACTTACACTAAAAGAAGAAAATGAAAGGACGGGGTCATTTTAACAGAAGTGGACTCAATACTTTCCTCCTCAACCATTTCAGTGATGCTGAAGACCTGAGAGGAAAGTGATGAAGCATCGGCTGCAACCGTCTGTGATCCAGCTTGAACCTGCAAGGATTAGCATGATTATCCTGTTGACATCCACATAAACATACACCAGTCACCACTTGTGCTTTACACCAGTGAGATACCAAAGCCCAACACTGTCAGAAGACAAAAAATATCCCTTTAGTGGCTTGAGAATGAAAGCGCAATAAAGTTACACAGCCTAAGCAAGGAATGCAGAGAATTCCAAATCCACAAGAGAAGCAGAATAAGACCAGCCTACCCCTGATCCTAATCCTGGCCGTTGATCTACAGAGGATGCCCTACTAATTCCTGCAGGAATCTGCGAGCAGCGAGGCCGACTCCGCTCTGATGATTTTAATGCATTCCCTGAATTCCACGCGGGACTAGGTTCCTTTTTCCTAGAGGCACGGGCGCGCTGCAAGAGGCCAACGCGGTCAAACACAGAAATAACAAAAACACATCAGTGTCCCCTGAAGACTCTGTTTGTGTGCAGTCTCTCCAGATATCTGTGGTCATTTACCAGTCTGGATGAAGGTAAAAAGCACTGTGGGTAAACAAAGCCACCTCTCTGAAAACCCAACTCTGCCTGTGAAAAGTAAAAAAAACATGTTGACTCGTGATGTAACTGTTTACGCCACAATGAGGACAGTGAAACCCCTACAGTTACAACAAGTAACCACTAAGTGGCACTGTAAGGACTTGCATGAGCATCAAAAGTTTGCTTCAGATCATTTAACCAAAGAGATGAAGACCTTCTGACAGTTCTCTCACCTGGCTGCTCCCGGGCTGAGCCTCGTCCGACTGCACAGCCGCTTTCTGCTTTTCTTCCTCAGCACCTGGACAGGTCCCCAAAAAACAATCCAGAGCTCATGATCGCCAACAATTACAAAACCACAAAGACAGAAAATGTAGACAAATAAACCCCAGAATAATTCAGGTCACACACCGGACTCTGCCTCATCGTCCTCCCCGTTTTCTTCCTCCTCTTCCTCACTGGCTGAGTACAATGTCGCCTTCTCTGCTCCATTAGGTTGGTTGTGTCCGTCAGACTGGAGCAGTTTGCTGAGCTTCTTCTCATACAAAGCCCTGGTGGAGGCTAGCGTGGACAAAATATACAATAGTAATCAGTTTTTATCATAGTGGAAAAGAGAAAGTGAACATGGTGACAGTTTCACATGCAACCTCACCAACTATGGGCCCAGGTTTGAACCCGTGTCGGAGCAGTGCGGCCTTGAGGTCATCATCAGTCAGACCGCTCAGGTCAGGTATCTCTGCCTCCTCTGGATTCTCCTCCTTTTCCTCAAAAACAAAATTAGCCAAATTTACTGAATGTGCATTCAAAACACAACAGAGGCGGAAGGCTGCAGCTTATCTCAGTGTAAATCTCCTGTTTCCACGTCTGCCCGATCAACAACCACAGAATAACAAGACTGCGGGTTTGTGGTGGAGCCAAGTCAACACACACAAGTGCTTGTTTTATGAATGGAAAATAGTTTGTTTGATGTTAGTACCACTCTAATGAAACAGATCCTTTATCCGGTACAATTTGAGCGATCCACATTTAATACAGTTTCTTCATCAGTGTCATATTACATTGTTATTGTTATGGTTAGCCTTGATTTTGATGGTACCAAATTGTTACCGGTCTCTCTCTCTCCACCTCATCTCTCTTCTCTCCCCCGCTTTCCACCCATCTCTCCTTTCCTCCCCCCTTACTTTTCTTTCCTCACCCCAACCGGTCGAGGCAGATGACCGCCCACATTGAGCCTGGTTCTGCCAGAGGTTTCTCCCTGTTAATGAGGGAGTTTTTCCTCTCCACAGTCGCCTGTGCTTGCTCATTGTGGGAACTGTTGGGTTTCTCTATGTTAATATTGTTTTAAGGTCTTGACCTTTAAATGTAAAGTGCCTTGAGATAATGTAAATTATGAATTGGCGCTATATAAATAAAATTGAATTGAATTGAATCAAACATAATGTTTCACAGTCAGGTTTAATGACACACCCTGGCTTCCTGTCACTTCATTGTCATGTAAAAAGACACAAGTATCAGATCAGCACTCAGAAAAGGTTGGTTTCGTGCAACCTCTGATGTGATATGCAAAGATATTATATAAACCACGTTAATTTTATATTCTATCCATTAGACTCCAAAAATCAGTGAACTGGACATGTGTAAAGAACACAAGGTTAATGATCCCTGATGGAAAACACATTAATACAGCTGCAACTAACAATTGTTTTTACTGTTTAATCTGATTATTACTCGGATTTACTCAATCGCTTCATTTTTGAAATGTAAAAAACAAGAACATTTTCCATAGAGCGCAGATAGATGTCTGCAGTCCTAAAGATATTTCTATTAACAAACATATTAAACAGAAGAAAGCTGCACATTGTTAAGTTTGAGCGGCTGCAACCAGAGATTTTTTTACTTGAAAAACTGCTGCAGGTCTGAATTGAATATCAATATATCGCAGATTCATTTCTCTCAGTGCTCTCGTTGAATCTCTGACTAATCACATTAGCTCTAAGTAGCAGTTTTGGGTCCAGAGTGCAAAGCTTGCAATGATTTCTAAATGTGTTACTCTACCCTGACTAGTTTTTTTATGCCACAAACTTCAAGACATTTCTGAGCGCTGTGCTCCTCCCTGCACATAAATGAGTGTGACAGGTGCAGCAAGCATATGCATGAGAGTGTAACAGCAGCCACCAGCTACTGAGACGTCTCATGTAAACCTATACCAACTCTACAGCGGGTGGCTTAGTGGTCACGGACCTCCAGTGAGGGGAGTGTTTGGCAGCAGTGACCCAGTTATCCCCCTCCTCCACCTCCACACCTGCTGACCTCATTGGTTTAAATCAGGTCAAACCTCATTATTATCTGCACGACAGCCCAAAGTTATCATGAATAATTGTTGATGCATTTGAAAAAACTGCTGAAATATATTTTCAACGGCAGAGAGGAAAAGTACATTAAACACTATCTTCAACTACCTTTAATGCCACGACACTTTTATTATCATAACT